ACCAGTGGAATAGGTATAATGCAATCGTATTGGGATTGATTATGAGTTCTGTTTCGAAGGAATTAGTGATAGGAGAGGTGTATGCTAAGAATGCATGTCGAGTTTGGGAAGTTTGAAAGAGCGATTTGATAAAGTGAACGCATCTAGAATCTATCAATTGCATAAGGAGATTGCAACACTACACCAAGGCTCTAACATTGTATCAACATATTTTACTAAGCTCAAAGAACTTTGGGATGAGTATGAAAGTATGATTCCAGCTTGTCGTGACAAAGAGTTTGTTGAACATCTACATAGACAGAAGTTGATACGGGTTTTGATGGGGCTTAATGAGAATTATAAGCAAGCGCGAAGTGAGATTCTCATGACAAATCTCACTCTTAATGTTAGTAAAGCATATGCAATGATCATTGAAAGAGAGAGAGTCAAAGAGTTGTCTCTAATGTGTCTGTGATGAATGAGGGATCAGAGGCCACAACTTTCATGACTGCAAAAGGATCAAAATTTTCAAGGAAGTTTTCAAGGGCAGAATCATAGACCAAAGAAGAACTGGAATCTTTACTGTGATTTCTGCAAAGTGAAAGGACATACTAAGGAGACATGTTACAAAATAGTAGCGTATGCTGATTTTAAGTACAAAAAAAGGGATCAGGGGCCAATGCTAATATTGCTTACAATGTGAATGTTGAAAACTATAATCCTAATGTTGTAGGATCTAATGCAGGAAGGACTGAGACAACATACAAGGGACACATGAGTGAGATTCATATGCCACCACAGTTCACAGCTGATCAATACAATCATATTATGAGGATGCTCAACAAAGTTGTTCCACAAAACACATTGGCTAACATGGCAGGTATGATGCAATCATTTATGGTTAATGCATCAACAAAAGAATGGATCATAGACACTGGTCAAATGACCACATGATATCAAACTTAAGCATGTTACAGAATATTAAAAATCTTGATTTCTGGAGTTGTAGGAAGGTGTATATGCCTAATGGTCAAGTGAATTTGGTATCACATATAGGAGATTGTATAATTTCTAAAGGGCAAGCAGGGAAAAATGTGTGTTTGTGCTTGATTTTCAGTATAATCTCATGTCAGTCTCTAAGGTAACTAGAGACCTTCATTGCTCAGTCACATTTTCCCTTGATTTTTGCCTATTCCAGGACCTCTCAAATGGGAGGATCAAGGGGATTGGTAAAGAGAAAGATGGATTCTACCTCTTCTTACCTGCAGATGAACAAGAAGAAATGAGTAGAGGATTAAATGCATAAGAGAAAGGAGTTGATGTTTCTCTGTGGCATTGGAGGTTAGCACATGCTTCTGGAGGAGCCATGAGGGAGGTGCTTGGACTGCCTATTAAGAATTGTAAAATGAAATAGATAAGTGTGATGTTTGTCCTTTAGCTAAGCATACTAGACTGCCTTTTCATTCTAGCAACAATAGAAGTACTCAAACTTTTCAATTGTTACACCTGGATGTTTGGGGACCTTATAACACTTCTACTATTGATGGAAATAAGTACTCCTAACCATAGTTGATTATTAATCTCGTGTGATCTAGGTATCCTTGTTGAAATTTAAAAGTGATGTGATCATTGTATTAAGAGATTTCGTTAAAATGGTACACACTCAATTTGGTGTTATGGTAAAGACAGTGAGGTCAGATAATGGGGGTGAGTTTATGAATCATAATTTCACTGCTTTATTAAGAGAGTTGGGCATAGTACATCAAAGAACATGTGTCTATATATACTCCTCAATAGAATGGAGTAGCTGAGGGGAAGCTTAGACACATTCTTGAGATGGTAAGGGCCATTAGATTTCAGGGGCATATCCTTGTGAGATTTTGGGGACATTGTGTTTTGACAGCTGTATATATCATCAATAGACTGCCTTCAGTTGTGTTACAAGGTAAATCACCTTATGAACTGTTTCATGTGAATAGACCAACTCTTCCTCATCTGAGAACTTTGGGGTGTTTGTGTTATGCTAGTGTCTTGCCTAGACAGGATAAATTCAGTGCTAGAGCAGTTAGGGCAGTGCTAATGGGTATTCTAATGTTAATAAAGGATATCTCTTATACTATTTGGAGAAAAAAGAGTTCTTTGTCAATAGGGATGTCACTTTCAAAGAGGGAGTGTTTCCTTTCAAGGATTTTGAAGGACCTGTTTCACCAACCTCTTGCCTGGAGGGTGTTTATCCTAACCACCCTTCTCATTTTGCAGATGTTGATTCTGCCATTCCTACTTCTATAGAAGATGCATTGCAGTCCCCAGTTTTTGTAGAGGATGATCCACAGGGAACATATATGCAGCCTCATATTATGCCTACTGATGTTGGTCTTCCTAGTGCCTCACCTGTTGATCATCAGGAACAACATAATGCTTCACCTAGTTCCTTCCATGCTGATGCAGAACCAAGTGCTCCTCAAGATAGCATTACCCCACACACACAAACAAATGAGGATAAGATTTTGGAAGAACCTGAACTCCACTTATCAGATGCTTCCGCACCTTTGAGGAGATCTGGACGAGTGACTAAACAACCATTGAGGTTGACAGACTATGTAGTACCTTTGCCATCCAAGAAGCCTCATTCAATTACTAATTACCTCTCCTATGATCAGCTTTCTTCTTCTTACATAGCTTATTTAGGGGTCTTCTCAGCAATATCTGAACCTACATCCTTTCATGAAGCATGTAAGGATGCTAGGTGGATAGAAGCAATGCAGGCAGATATAGCAGCACTGCAAGCCAACAAAACTTGGGAATTGGTGTGTTTGCCTCCAGGGAAGACTCCCATTGGTTGTATATGGGTGTACAAAGTCAACCTTAAAATTGATGGAGAAATAGAAAGGTTTAAAGCTAGACTAGCAGCATATAGTCAAAAGGAAGGCCTTGACTACAATGAAATATTCTCTCCTATAGTTAAGATTGCTACTGTTAGGACAGTCCTTTCATTAGCAGCTATGCAGCATTGGCATATCCAACAGATGGATTTTACAATGCCTTTTTGTTGGGAGACCTAGATGATGAGGTTTATATGGAGTTTCCACAGGGATTTTCAAGTCAGGGGGAGACAGTTGGTCATTCTAAGTTAGCTTAGAGACTTGTTAAATCCTTGTATGGGTTGAAGCGGGCTAGCAGACAATGGAATTTAAAATTGACTAAAGCCTTACTACATGCAGGATTCAAGCAAAGTCGTCTTGACCATTCCTAGTTCATTAAACAGAATCAAAGTGAAGTAGTAGTGATTCTTGTCTATGTCGATGATATGCTAATCGTTGGAAATAATCAGCAAATGAAATAGGCAACAAAAGATTCCCTACACAAGACTTTCAAGATTAAAGACTTAGGAGAGCTAAAGTTTTTCCTTGGAATGGAATTCAGCAGGTCGAGCAGAATATTCTGGTGAATCAGAGAAAATATGCCTTGGTGAGTTGGGTCTAGGAGATGCCAAACCAGCTTGGACACCTCTTGAGGTGAATGTGAAGCTGATTGTGCAAGAGTATGACAAGCTGAGAGGCAATGAAGATGATAATGTGCTTGAAGACAAGGGGCAGTATCAAAGATTGATAGGGAAGCTACTGTATTTGACTCTAACAAGACCTGACATAGCATATGCAGTTCAAACACTTCGCCAATTCTTTCAACAACCCAAAAACTCTCATTGGGATGCAGCTATGAGGGTTGTTAGATACATAAAGAGGGAACCAGGGCTGGGAGTGTTGTTTAGCTGTGAGAAGTCATACAAAATCTCTGTGTTCTGTGATGCAGACTGGGCATCGTGTCCCAACACAAGAAGGTCAGTATCTGGATTCTTGATCAAATATGGTAAATAATTGGTCTCATAGAAATCCAAGAAGCAAAGCACTTGCTGAATATAGGAGCATGGCTAGTGCTGCCTCTGAAGCTGTTTGGTTGATTGGATTGTTAAAAGAGTTAGGAGCAGCTGTAGCATTACCAGTTGATATGTATTGTGACCACAAAGCAGCTTTACAAATAGCTGCCAACCCAGTATATCATGAAAGGACTAAACATATTGAAATAGATTGCCATTTTATCAAAGAGAAGATACAAATGGGATTGGTTAAAACACAGCATGTTGCCTCAAAAGACCAATTAGCATACATCTTGACAAAAGGGCTTAATAGAACGCAGCATGAGTCATTGACTGGCCAGCTGGGAGTACTTAATGTTTTTGTACCTGCCAGCTTGAGGGGGAGTGTGGAAATAGGAGTTACTTAGACAAAGTGGCATTATTGTAAATAGCTAGGTAGCTTAGTTAACTAAGTCGGTGCTTTGTTTAGACTATAAATAGAGACGGTTAGAATGTACAGTGTATTCAGAATATTTTTTTCTTCTTAGCTGAATAACAGAATCCATTCCTTCTCCTCTGTTCTTCTTCTTCCTTATCAACAATCTAGGGTTGAATGCTAAATCGACATAGATTAACAATGATCTTATCGTGATGCACAAACATCTTCCATATCTTAAGAGGAATATAGTACTGCCTCCGTTTCAATTTAGATGATGTAGTTCGATTTGACATAAAGTTTAAGAAAAGAAAAGAGATTTTTGAAACATGTGGTCCTAAAAGTATAAGGGGCAAAAACTTTGTTGGGCAATGACATTTTTGTGGCTATAAAAGCTTATCATTGAGGAATAAAAAGTGAGTAAAATAAAAAAATTAAAGTTAAATTATTTTCAAATATAAAAATGTATCATTCTTTTAACAACTACTAAAGAAAATGTATCATTTAAATTGAAACAAAATAGAGACTACGGTATATCATTTCTTGAAATTAAAGATCAGTACATTATTTTATTCATCGTCAAATGTTAAGATAATAAAAACTAAAAAGCACAACATACATGTGCTTAAAATGGTACCTTCATAGAAATTCCAGGAAAAAAAATAAAGGTAGGGACTACAGTTATAATTATAGGCCAAGCGTATAAATAGACGTATAGTGTCAATCCTTCCATTCATCCAGAATTAATAAACCCTGGTTATTGGTGAAAGTGCAAGAAACATTTGTTCCAATACTCTTAGAAAAGAAAATGAATTCAGCAGATGTAACCTTCTCTTTCTCTGATTTTAATCTCCTTGAATCCATAAAGCAACATCTTCTAATTGATTCAGATTTTTCTGAAATTCTTTCGCCTATGAGTTCAAATAACGCATTGCCTGACAGTCCTAGCTCATGTTTTGGCAGCTCCCCTTCAGCAGAAAATAGCTTCGAAATCTCCCTTTGGGATCAAAACTTTGAGGAAACAATGCCAAATCTCGAAAAAAAGTGCGAGTCCGAGGAGGAAACGAAGGGGAATGTGGCGGCGCGTGAGAAGAACGCGCCGCAAGATTGGAGGCGGTACATAGGAGTGAAACGGCGGCCATGGGGGACGTTTTCAGCGGAGATGAGAGACCCCGATAGGAGAGGGGCAAGACTGTGGTTAGGAACTTATGAAACACCGGAGGATGCAGCAATGGCTTACGATCAAGCCGCTTTCAAAATCCGCGGCTCGAGAGCTAGGCTAAATTTTCCTCACTTAATTGGCTCAAACATGCCTAAACCGGCTAGAGTTACAGCGAGGCGTAGTCGTACGCGCTCACCCGAGCCATCGTTTTCTTCGTCCACCTCATCATCGGTAAATGTAACAAGAAAAAGGAAAATAGATGTGATAAATTCCATAGCCAAGGTTTGTCATGGTTGGAACCTCCAGATGTTACTATGACTATATTTGGAAGGGTTTTTAGTGTTTTAGTATTAGATACAATTTTTATTTTTGTAGAACTAAAACATTTTAGCTCACTCCCTGTTAGCCCGCTAACTTCAAGCTGGGCCCTTAAAGCATTGGTTAATTGTAAATTACTCCCTCTGTTACATATTATGCATGTGTTTTTCTTTTAAACGCCTCTTAACAAATATCAATTGGGAAAGGGATTGGACTATTCTACCCTTATTTATATCTTAAGATATAATATCTCCATTCATTAAATATTTATTCTATTTATGTGTTATCTCCATCTTCAAGAACAATTATTACTAAGAGTAAAAAAGAAAAAAACAATCAATTTTTCCTTAATATTCTAAAATGACAAATAATTTGATACAACTATTTTTAATAAACCACGACGGTTAATATGAGACAGAGGAAGTAGAAACCTTTCCTCTAATGCAAAATCAAAAGGTTTAATCAAAATATATTTGCTCCAATTTGCATTTAAGAAAATTACGGACTTTCTAATTCAATGATGTACCTCTCGATCGAGAGTATTTACACTGCTGTAAATTTGTTTAATTAGTTCTAATAAATTGTTAGGAGTACTCTGTCTAACACTTTATAGTTTGGGGTGGTGTTACTTCAACATGTTCCCATGAAAGATGTAGGCTTCCACTTCACTTCTGCAATTTTAAAACTTACCATAATATATCGTGGAATCTTTTCTCTTTATTGCACATGCTGTGACTGACAAATTCCTATTACTCCTTTCGGTTCATAATATGTAATCAATTTACTTTTTTATTTTTGTCCAAAATAAGTGTTCATTTATATAATCAAGAAAAAAATTAATTTATTTTTACAAAATTACCCTTATGTACATATTCCTAAAAAGTTTTCTTACTCCTCGCATTAAATATTTAATTAAGGGTAGTTTAGTAATACTAGGTATTTTTGTATAGAAATTAGTACTCCCTCCGGTCCATAATAAGTGATTTTTTGGCTTTTTTTTTGTGGTTCAAATAAGTAATTTTTCCAGATTTCAAGACTGAATTAATTATTTTTTCCCTACATTGCCCTTGGAGTATATAATGTTGAAGTATGTGTTAGAAGTATTTATGTGAAGAGCTGGTAAAGGTTAATATGGTCAATTTCATTGCTAATTAATGCTAAAAGGTGAGTTTTTTAATATGTGTGAAAACAACCAAAAAATCAGTTATTTTGGACCGGAGAGAGTATTTTCTTAAGGAATTTTTACATTCCTATACCACATAGGAAACCTTTTTACCATACATGTTTAAGGTTTGAGTAAATTACACTTAGTATACCAAATTACCAATCCTATACCATACTTAATTAAGGGTCTAATTAATGGGCTGTTTTTACTCCTTAATTAAAGGTATCCATATCTAATTAATGGGCAGTTTTTACTCCTTAATTAAAGGTATTCATATATCTCACGTTTCTCTCTCCTTACCCCTCACCCCCTCACCCACGTTTTACCCATACCCCACATTCTTTCTTGTTCTTCATCCACGATTGCAGGATCAATCAACGAAAGATGTCCTTGAGATGCATTAGCCAGCGAAATCTCATTATATTTGAATGTCGTGCCAATTTTCTCTACAACAATTGTGGCATGTGATATGATTTTCTGAAAATCTACATGAAATCAAAAGTTGCAACAAACATTTTAATATGCCACGAACTAGCAAAACAATGACAACAGATACACTTTAGTAGTCTTTTTTTTGGGTACCAAACAAAATTCCCTCTTCTGGATTTACTGTTTCTCGTGTATTTGTAGTGTAATTGCAGTGTAATTGTAGTGTAATTGTAGATTTAGTATAATGGATATGATCTGTTGAAGCCCTCACCTAGATTTACTGTTTGTAGTGTAATTGTAGTTAGTTTGTAGTTTATGTAGAACATTCCAAGATTAATTGTAGTCTAAAATGTAGATATAATGTAGACATGATTGTGGATGATGTGTTTCCTGTTTGCCCTGTAACTGTAGGTAAATTGTAGTTATTCTTTTATTAGGTACTTAAACTGTAGGTAATTTGTACATTCACTGTAGGTAAACTGTAGGGAAATTTGTTTGAATTGTAGAACTAGTTTTATACATAATTGTAGAGTTTTTGTAGTTAATAGTAGTTATAATGTAGGATTCATGTACCGCTTCACACCATCTATCACAGTATGGATATGATCTGTTGAAGCCCCCACCAAGAATTACATAACAAACAACAATAAAAATATTTACAATCATAAAATAGTTTATCTACAATTTATCTACAACGTATCTACAATTATATCTACAAATTATCTACAATCTACAAATTAACTACAATTTGTCTACAAATTATATACAACCTATTATTTGATTTCACGATGTATTTGATTTCTACAATTTTTTCAGCAGTATCAATTGATAGTTGTTCTGCAATTGTAGAGATCAGAGTACTGTAGCTTGCATACTCATCTACCACAATGGCATCCACTTCAAAATCCCTAAATCTGCCATAGGTATCCCAATTGCCATTAAATTGTAGCATAATTGCGATTTTGGACATTTGTTGTCGATGTTGATGTTTTTTTTTTTGATTTCTAGATTGAAAGAAGAAAAGATGAAGAAGAGATATATCTGATCGACAATTTGATAGAAGCAACAACGAAGAACAGATTTTTTCAACTTTGAGTTGTTGAAACTCGAAAATTTTGAATTCTACAATTTGAATTCAAATCTTAGAAGCTGTTAGTAGTTGAATATTTTCGTAGTTTTTGTAGCTGTTAGTAGTTGAATATCTGTTCGTTCCTTTTTTTTTTCCAGAATTTGAATTGTAGTTCTGGAGAAAAAAACGCAGATATGAAATCTCCTTTCCCTTTTTAAAGATTTAATTTAATGTAGAATCAATTATCACCAAGAATCTCTCCTTAATTTTAGCGCGTTTTTAAGGAATATTCTGATCCATTAATGCCTGATTTTCGAATGGTACAATTTTTGTAGGTAAAATGTGGACTGGGCGGGTAATATACAAAATATGCACATTTTTGGTAATAAACTTTCATATATGGTATAGGAAGGAAAAATCCATTTTCTTAATGGGCGTGCCCAAAGCAAATTGGTCACTTATTGTGGAGCGGATGAGGTATTAATTTACTTTACAATTTCCAACATTGAATCATCACGTTTAAACAATTAAACGAAACTATATAATCACCAAATTATCAGATATGTATTCTTTAATAATCATAAAACTAACAGAGAAACTAATCGTTTACAAGTGGCAGAACAAGTATTTTATAATCTATCTATATCTATCTATACTATATTAAAAGCACGAAGCCCCTTAGCGAAATTTCGTTCGCCTTTTTTACCCTTTAAAAATAGATTTCTTTTTTTCTTTTTTTTTTTTTGGTGAAAGAGAGATATTCTTATTAATCACCAACCCAAAATTCAAATGTACAGACTGTTCTCCTTGTAGTTCCTACTCCTCACTTCAAAGCTATTCTATTACATCAATTTTCTATTCTTCTATTTCTATTCTATTTACATTAGCTTGTGTATCCATGCTTTTTGTCTTTGTGATGTTGCCTTCTTTCCCAGGATTTCCGGCATGACCAGCCTACATTCCTCTTTCACAGTCTCTATCAGCTTCTGGGGTCGTTGGACTTTGGGATTCCACAGTGCATCATTTCTTGCTTTCCAAATGTGGTACATTGTAGCTGCTAAGATAGAACTGGTGATGTTTCTGTGAGCTTTGCCTCTTGAATTTCTTGTCATTCTTCTCCATAATCCTTCTAGCTTGTACTGTTGCACTCCAATTTGTAGCCATTTCAGTATCTCACTCAGGCATGTCCTTGAATAGTCACATTCAAAGAATAGGTGCTCAGTTGTTTCTATTCCTGTCTCACATATAGCACATTGTGTTTCCTTGCATATCCCTAGTTTGGCCAGTCTTTCTCTTGTCTGAAGTCTCTTGTGCATAGCTAACCAGCAGATAAAGCTATGCTTTTGGGATGTTGTTTCTACTCCATATCCCATCTGCTA